AATCTATAAATTGGCTGGAGAAGGCGACAGCGAAGACAGGACTGACTCTATACAGGTGAACAGCAACAACAACAACAACCAGCACCAGTCAACATCAATGGGACAAATAGGTTGACAGAGGTTAATTCCTGCCTTCACTTATCTAGCCTAGTCAACAGTATCGTTTCAACAACAGGTAGTCGTTATTGATGAAGATGTGAAAGCCAGCCAGGCAGAATCGGGATAGCAAGCACTTTGGGAGTCTTCTGCAATCACTCAACCAGTATAAACAACAAGATTCGGATTCTATTCAACACAAATATCAGTGAAGTCAGTCAGCTAGTAAGTCACTTCCTCTATATGGATCAGAAATTGTCACTGCCTGTGGGTCATGAAAGTGATTTCCAATGGCCAGCTGAAGACTCCTATCAATCACTGCCTCCACTGGCCTGCCGACCAGAAAGAATTAGCAACAATAAACTCTGACAATGAAAGAACAAACCAAGAGGCAATCGCCAAACAAATATCTATGAGGAAATGAGGGTGAATTGTTCTGGTATATGTTGAGGAGGGAGGCCGTCGAATGACATCGCACTTAATTCAGGCCATCCATCGCTCGAGTGGAATCTCAGAGGGAAATGTTGAGTGTGTGATCGGTGTGAGGGTTACATAGAGGAGATTGTATGGCGGGGAGAAGGAGGAGGGGGCGATGAGAGATTATGGTCAGCCATGGGGTTGGCCAGATGAATAGGACAGTAGAAAACAGAGCAGAGTGGAGTTGTGTTGTTCGATTGCTATGTTCCACTCGGATCCCTAGGGAATATTAAGAGTTATAAATAGTGTTCTCTGAGCTGGTCAAATTGATTGCAAAGCTTTCACCATACCCTACTAGGAAACATCTTCAGCAAAAACTCTAGTAAAAGTTGACCTGGTATGAATTCTCTATGCATGATGATAGAACTGTATCTCCTGACATTCATTATTCTAATTTGTTCTTGTTAACTGACATCTTTACTGACTTGGAATTTGAAATTTCTTGGCGTTTGATTGAGTCGTAATTACTTCGTCAATTTGATCTATGGTAATGTGTATTTGTTAATCACTGAGATTCATCTGAGTACCATCCAGGTTTATGGGAATTCCCTGTCATGACTTCTGGTGTTTCCTCTATTAAAAATTTCTTTTTGTCCATTACTGTTTATATTCATCGATATGCAAGAATACATATCTCGTGTCTTTTTTTCACAGGCAATTTGTCTTCAAGGATTCTGATTCGATGACGATGCGCGGTGTGCATCACAGTTTATTTAACTGGTTTCGTAACTGATATTGATTATGCCTTCGTTTGCTGCTGGATCCTTTTGTCACCACAAAAACTGAATGGAGTCATTATGCTGGTTGGCTTGTACGATGTGTATATTTAAAATGGTCTCAATATTCTTTGAATGTGGTAGGATGAATTCTGTTGAATTAGAGGATTTCATCATGACTTGATATCATTTAGAGAACCACTGAAAAACCAGGCATCTGGGAGTACTGCCAGACAGATGTTTCCTCCATCCTAGTTTGAGACTCCTCTTCAGCGTCACGCAGCCACATGACTGCGATGGGATCAGGGGTACATATTGTTTAATGCCAAAACAGCACTTTAATACTCTCCGGTTTTCGTTGTTTCTCTTACTGAAGTCAGATTGCGATTAGACTAGTTATCGACTGTTATTCAATGTACATAAAGAATTAATTCCTGATCATAGTGTAGTGAGTGCGTCGGTGGCATAGTGGTTATTTTTATTTATTTTTTTATATTTTTGATTACAGCTTGATGCCACACCGTATTTTCAGTACAAGTATGGCATTTTCAGCATGGATATCGGTAGCTCAAATTTCGCAGGCCGACCATAGATATCGGGTGTGCGTCGGCGGGGGATCGAACCTCGAACCATGTGCATGGTTGGCGAAAGTCCTAACCACTGTGCCACCGACGCAATTAATTGGAACGCTCGCTTCGTTTGTATACTTCCATTACTTTTCATCGCTTGATTTGAATGGGGAGACTGATAATGATAATATAAATAAGAAGGAATATAAAGCATCTACTGCAGTTTCACCATCCAGTCAGCTTCTGACATTAGAACAATGGATTCGATAAGCAAGGATCTTAAAAATGAAGTTTGAGGGGAATACCTTCGATTTTCTGGACATGTACCATAAAGCCTAGCTGTCCAGCGGGAAACAAATTCTTTTAACAATGCCATCTCCAGGTATCTCCTTGACTCGCGTCATCAGGTGGACATCGCAAGATCCTTCAAAATTATCAACAAGCAAAAGAGTTCAATTCTCCTTAAGTTTGCCTAAGCAGTCTCCATCAGGCGCCTGAAACCAGATTTATTTATGCATTCAGAAAGAAGCAGTCAGTATCAGACTTTCCTTGCCCTGCCATGCTTGGTACCTGGATATTTTCATCCTCTCTTTCGTATGATTACGCAATGCCCAAAGTTTCCTTCGCGTATGATCATTATTGTTCGGGATAAAGCGTTTATTATTATTAGCATTGTATGCCTATATGGATTGATTTTTTGTTTAGAAATGAACTTGGTGTGTGTTAAAACTGTTTCTGTAGATATACTTAATAATGACTTTGGCCTGCAGGCAGCTGATGAGAACCCAACGAAATAATCCATGCTAGTGGTACCATTTTATTCTGCGCAAACCGCTGTTGTTCTTGCTTTATTCAAATTCATTAAGGGGAATAAATGTAGTAAGTTTGTGAAAATCTTAGTAAGTTAGATGATTTTAGGTGGTTAGTGGCATACCCCACCTGCATGCAAAAACTCGAAAGTCAACGGTAAGGCGACAGTTTGTGAAACGGATCTTGGGTAAATTAGAACGTAATTCCTACCATAATATTCAGGATACTTAAGAATATGTTTCAGAATCTTTATGAATCTTACTGAACAAACTTTCCAACTTCGATTTTCTCTTTGATGGCAAATTTCTCTAAACATGTGCATCGTGTGGCTCATTGGTAGGACAACGCCCACCAACGACGGAAATGGTCCGAGTTTCGATCCTTGGCCAAGAATTGATGAAACGTTTGCACATCCTGGCAACTACTGTGCTGACTGGTTCTTAACTTTCATCTCTAGTGATCACTTTTATTGACTCAGAATTTGAACTTCCTTGTCATGTCATATCATGATTCACTTTTTATTAGTTGGTAAATTCGGTATATAGTAATGTGTGTTGGTTAATCGCTAGCTGATTCACTTGAGTATCAGACAAGCGTCTAGAAAATCGCTAACAGCATTCCTCTTGTTTCCCCTATTTAATATTTCGACATTATTCCACCAATCATTGATATGAAAGAACACACATATCAAATCTCTCTACAGCCAATTTGTGTCCTTCGATTCGGATTCCTGTCCTAAGGGGACGCCCATTTTGACCACTGATATGTTGTTTATTGCAGTTCATACATGCAATTTATTTTGTAAATTGTAATAATTTCATATATGATGGAAAAGATTTGTAGCTCAGGTAGATGATTTTAATGTGGTTGTGTTCACTGAGCTGGATAGCTTACTTGCAAAGCCTTCATTGCCCTCCCACCAGGCAGCATTTTCAGCGCATACTTGAATTTGAATTGAGCTTTTAGATTTCTCCAAGATTTGATTAATAACCTATCCTGCTGGGCGACCTTGAGCGCGACTGGTTGTTTTTGTATGTCTGCACACACTCCAGGCTACTTGTATTAGTACTAATTGTTTCCTAAACCTGAAGTTTGACCCTTTGTGTGTGTGATCTCCTTATTATCGATTGGTAGATTTTGCTTATGTCAATGTGTTTATTTACTGATGATTCATCTACAAATTATTTGGCATTCTTCGTATTTCCTCTGTATAAAGTTATAACGCTGGTTGTCTCAGTCAGTTTGATTTCCGTGGTTGTCCGTATGCAGTGAGGGAGTGGATGTCGTGTCTTTTGACGGTTAGTCTGTGTTCATGTATACGAAGACTAAGGAGACGTGATCTATTTTGGCTAATGTTGTATTTTTGCAGTTGTTACAATTTATTTTATAGATGATGTTGGTTTTATCTTCTTTCGTTGTTGAGTCTTTTGATTGACACAGAGCTGAGTGAAGTCATTTTGTTGGTTTGTGTGCGATATCAATTCTTATGCCACTCCCTACTACTCACTGATAGACTACTGTACATTTTTGGTTGGTAAATATAAATTCGACTGTACAACCGGCCTGTGAAGATGATTTCGTCGATAAAGAAAATTTTCTTATCTGCATCGTCGTTTATTTTCTTCATAACTCACTGGGTATTTTCGGTGATTTAATCAAATAACGTCCACGCTGTTCTCTATGTGAACTGGTCGCAAGTGGCGTCGAATCAAAATAGGATAGAGGTTAATCAGTCAATTGGTTGTCAGTTAAACTCCCTGAATGAACTCTTGGACGAGAAATGAATCAGACAAGTGCATATCATAAATCCCTATTGAGAAATCGTCGATCTCCACATTCCACACAAATACTACATTCATCACAAGTGAATTCAGTCGACTCATTCCACAATATTGAAATTCGTCTTAACCTATGAATGAGGTCTGTCACAGTTAGCCCACTGAATCCGCTGCCAGTCGAGAGACTTGATACACAGGTTCGAAATACATTTATGCATTTGTCTGACTGAGAATCAGTGAATAAGTCACGTGGATCTCCACTGTATGCCTAATCAGTAATTTCCCAGTTGACTATGAAAGCCTAAGTCATATCTGAAGAGATTTGACTACAACCCGATTCGGTGGGCGACTGATTCAGTGTTTGTCACTTTGCAGGTGGACTACATAACTCATATGAGATTGGAGATGAGTGTTGTGTTGGTAACCACTGTATTCCGACTAACCAGTTTCTACTCAGATTCCAAGCACTCGCTGAATTTGTCTTTTATAGGTATTATTATTTTTATTGGTCAACTCATCGTCTACATTTGCAGTGTAAGCCAATTAAACAATTAAAGATAGTTATATTTTCATTAATTTTATTAATCGTACAAATGCATAATCCCGTTTACATAAATTAAAAAGAGATCAGTATTACAGATAGACGCAAATATTAAATTACAAAAAATGATCAACGAATTCAATTCAAGTACAATCGTTATACATGATTCAAGTTTAAGTGTATTTCGTGAGAAGAAATAATAAAAGCAAAGGAGACGAAGTAGAGGAAGCAGCAGCAGGCACCCACACACACACACACACAAATGAAGACTGAACCGAGCAAGATGTAAGATAGTGTTCATTTTTGTCTTCTTCTTCTTTTCAAACATTCAGGATTCCAGTGGTTGACTCCACATATTTCATATCACGATCTAATTGACATGCAGCGCACAATGGACAACAGCAATCTTTAAGCCAATCTCTGAACAGGGTACCCTGAAGAGAAAGAGGAAAAACAAGATAACGAACACAAACTATTGGGAGGAAAGATGAAGTGTATTCACAGTTAGGCGCCTATATGAAGCTTCTCCCGTGTAGCATTTAAATACTTTTTTTGGACACTGGTCAGTCAGTAACTAGTGTGATGTGTCTCGCTAGTCCTTTGTGTCGGTGCAGAAATTTTCACTGCGCGTGCAACACGAAAAGGACTTTTATGAACAGCTGCCCCTTCGATATCTGGCTACATACTGAAGATCAAATAATCAGCTGGAGAGAAAGAATTAGTAACAAGGAACTCTGCCTACAAATAGAACAACGAAGAGCCGATTGCTCAACAAATATATGTAGGAGAAAATGGAGATAGGTTGATGGGGCATACATTCAGAAGACCGTCAGATGACATCGCGCTCAGTGCAGGTCATTGCTCGAGTGGAATCTCCATGGGAAGCGACTAGCGATTGGTCCGTGTGAAGGTGACATGGAGGAGATCTCGTGAGGAAGAGACGAGAGATTACGGACAATCGTGAACTCAGCTGAAGAGGATACCGGAAAATAGGTCAGAGTGGAGATGTGTTGTTGAAGCCAGCCCTTTGTTCCACTGGGAACCCAAAGGAACAATAATAATAAAGCATTATTAGGGGGGAGAGAGAGAGCTAATATGCATTCATATAACACTAAACTGAATGAACATCAGATCAGATAAATTAAGGGAAATAACACGCAGAATTTATGTTTTACAGAAGGCCAAAGTAGCAACAGTAGATTGGTCTGTTTCTTTTATACTCAGAGCTCTAGGTGATTTAAGCGATGCTTAATGGCTTCTTCTGTTTAGAGTATTCGGTATCTAGAAAAAGGCATTTAGCAATTTATTCAACAGAGGACAGTGGGATCAATAATATCCCCAATAATGGCAGACATATGTATAGATAGTTAGGAACATAAGGCTCTTAGAACGTATAATCCTGCTCCACCTAGGTAGACTATGGTGGAGATATGTGGATGACACATTCACTACTGTGTTGAAATCTGAAAATATCCCTCGATTTCTCTCTCAAACATATAAACTCAACAGTAGATGGAATCCAATTCTTTTCTGAGTTAGAAAATGAACAGGCTGAGTTGGCTACGCTAGACTGACTGAAGAATAAAACGAAAACAAGATTGTGGCTGGTTAGATACTAGCTGGCACTTATAGGAAACCACTCTAATGCAAAACACTTAGACTTCAATCAGTAAAGGTAGGTTTAGTTGCATGTCTTTATAATCGGGCAAAGAGCCTAACTAGTGGTAAGCCAGAAGATTTAAATAATGAAATCAAACAAATAAAGGAAATATTACTAGTAAATAACACACTACCTAAGGGAATCTATTCAGAAATGTATGAAGAACCATAGAAAAACTAAGACTAGCTATAAAAGTGACGAAAATAACGAAAATAATATAGAATTCAAAGCCTCTGTAGCACTGCCGTATAAAGAAGGGACGACGTCAGAAGCCTTAAGTAGAATTCTCAATGACGCTGGAATTAGTCAGAGTGGCATTTAAACTAACCAATCAACCAACTTTCTCACAGATAAACTTTGTCTTTCGGCTTAAGGACCCACTCAGTATACCCGAATAAGAAAAATATTATAATTTATGAAATACCATGTAATGCTGGCTGACTGTGAGTGAGGTCAATTACATATGCCAGTTACACATGTAGATTGAGGTCATGGAACATAAAACTGCATCTTGACCTAGTCTGACTGACCCTGATAAGTAAGTTAAATAACCTAGAAAAAAAAACAGAACTCAGCTATTGCACTGCACTGCATTCACTTTCATGCAATCACGAAATGCATGTGGTGGGTGGGACAGGGTGAGAGCATTAAAAAGTAATTTAGTCAGTTAGGTGGAGCGATAGGCAGAGAGATTAATCACTGAAGCTTTGTTTATGGATTCAACACCACACACGTGCAGCAATCGGAGTGACGCAACGCTGCCTATACCGGAGATATGGAAAGTGGCAACAAACAGAAAGAGAGGAAACATACACCTATAAGACAAATTGTGAAACCGTGTGTGACTAAAATTGATTGATGATTATGAGTGGCAATAATTTATGCACGAAACCTTATCTGTCATCCAGTTGGTAATACTACATCATCATCACAGTGTGGGGTTATTAAAATAAACTTATCTAATATGGAATTCCACATTCTACTACCACAGTGCTTAAGTTCTACATTTACATTAACAGAGAGGGACAGTCTTCAGTTCTAGCCAGCTTTGTGACATGTCTGGATGAGGTGATCTAATATAAAACTCTGTGGATGGCTTTAAATAAAACTTGGTTTCACTACCCTGGTAGATGTTCCTGACCATGGAAAATTGGGTTGTTTAAACAATGGCCAATATATATATATATATATTGGCTCGATGGGAGCAGTTGACTTGATAGATACAATTGGAGCTATCTAGATAGCTTAGTTATTTCGTCTTTCAAGTTCGAAATCACCACCACTAGACCTTCCTTGAATCGATTTTCTCAACGTATTGGTTATTAATTCACTCAGATGACAGAGGCGTTTTCTTTACTTGATACGCAAGAATTCTATTCTACCCTCTTGGTCATTTGTCGGTACTCAACAAGTCATCGTCCCTTAGTGTTTCGCTATGGCTCGTAAAAAGCAGACTGCTCGCAAATCTACTGGTGAAAAGGCCCATGAAAGCAGCTGGCCCCCAAGGATGCTCGTAAAAGAGCACCAGCTACTGGTGACGTTAAGAAACCATTCAGATACAGGACCGGAACTACCGCCCTTCGTGAAATCCGTCGTTACCAGAAAAGCACCGAATTGTTGATCCGCATAGTGCCTTTCTCGCGTCTTGTCAGTGAGATCGCCCAGGACTTCAAGACTGACTTGCGTTTCCAGAGCTCAGCAGTGTCTGCTCTGCAAGAAGCCAGTGAAGCTTACTTGGTAAGGCAACTTTTCGATAGTGTCGTGCTGTGGCACTTGTGAAATTTGTTAATCATGTCTGGAGGGTTTTCAGTCCTGGAGCTTTCTGCAGAAGACTTGCGCAGTTTATCATGAGCACTGACATCGGTTGGTTCTAGAACCATTGGAAAATCAGACACTAGGAGTACTGCCAAACAGCTGTTCCCTACGTAGTAGTTTACGACTAGCTTCCACCAGCGTTCCAACCCAGGACTTCCTGATTACAAGGTGAACGAGCTCGTAGACCATTAGGCAGTCACTCACTAGGACCCGACCCAATGGCCAGCCAGCCAGTGCATGAATTCCAACTTCTTCCGATTCACGACATAGTGTGACTGGCGCTAGCCAATGTCTTCGGCAAGAATTTGAACTCACACCCGATCTGCTGTACCCTAATAGTCACGACTGCCTACAAGAGAAATTTGGTAACTATGGTTCGTAGAAGCAATTGTCATCAAAAGACTCCCGCTGAACTCAAGGCATACAGAAAGATATTGTGACCTGATAACCATAATTGCTTTGTTCATGTGCTTTTATACCTTGTACTTTTGTGTAACATTCCACTTGATTTTGATTTTCACTTTTTGAGCTACGCTCACCATTACGCTTCTAAATCTGCCAAAGAGACGAAGGAAACAGCTCTGTGGCAGTACTCCCAGGTGGTTTTCCAATGGTTCCCTACCAATGTCAGTGCTAGTGATGGAATCCTCCAACCAAATTATTTTGTGTATCTTATTTGACTGTACATCCTCTCTCCCACTCTCTTGAACTCTCCATCATAATATGTATCAATTCACACTGTTGTTCTGCTTTGTATTTTGTCTCTAATCCATCCTTATTTCCAAGCGAAATCTGATTCCCACCACTTTGTCTAAACACTATATACATAGCACCCTTTTAACACTAAATAATTGTCTACTTTTATCATCTTTGAAATTATGCTGCTTATACTTTCTATCTATAACACTTGAAGTCGTTTTGGGAAAAAGTATGTTCAGACACTATTTTGTAACTTAGAATTCGGTTGTGTTTAGGATGTATGCAGCAGTTGAAGAGAATGAATTCACGAAATAAAACGAGCTTGTATTATATGAACTGTAAATATGTGCTCCTTCTTTCTTTATTCAAAATAATAAAGCGCACCGGACTAGCTGTATGAAAGTTCGATTACATTATAAGCTTTAAATACCGAAATGTTCGTCTCGTGAAAACGACTGACAATTTATAATTTTAGAAAGTCTTCATGCATAGGACAGGACAGACACATTTTAAAAGAACTTAGTCAGAACACTATTCAATAGAGCACGAAAAGTTTCTTCTGACAGTACAATCGTGCATGAAATAAATAAAGCCTTTGAAGGATATTTTATCTAAGAATGGAGATATACTGAGACGTTGATGAATGAATATGCTAAATAAATGAGTCTCTGCAAAACCACCCAAACATTTCTGAATAAATCTGTCTATATAAATTTGCCATTCAAAGGAGATGATGTGTACAAGAAGTAGTCAAACTATAAAGATTTGATATGGCTATCAAGAGAACTTATTATGTTGCGAAACTTTTCATCCTTAACACCATTCTCATATCCCGAATGGATGCACCTCACTAGTCATGACTTCTCACTAGAACTCCAGGAAACTCCGTCCTGTAGCCAGCCAGTCACTAGCGAGTCAATTGTGAGGATAGATGTCATTGTTTGGTACTAGTCGCGCTGAGTGCCTCACTAATTGGTAGGAGTTATAATTCATTCACTGTCTGGCTGGCCATTTAATCGAGTCCCAGTGAGTGTCTGAATGATATACAAGCTAGCTCGCCTTGTAATCGATAGATCCCAGGTTCGAACCATGACTGTGGATGCGTTCTGTCGATGATTTCCAAACGAGGCTGATGCAACAGCTGTTTGGTAGTACTCCCTGTGGCTGGTTTTCAATGGTTCCCCAAATGATATCAATCCATGATCAACTCGTCAAAATAATAATAATGTGGTAATTGTTGTGAACGTCAGTAATAACGATGATTGTAATGTTAACAAAATAATGTTAATTGAGTTTATTCAGGTGACGATAAGAATAACGAAGGTAATAATACGCGTGTATATGTAGACAATTCAATAAATAAATAATCAGGTCTAATCTCAAAAGTTAAATTAAAAGTAATATTAAAGATGGGCGGTGTGGACAGATAATCAGAGTTTGAATAAATATCATAAAAATAGGAAGGAAATGGATAATAAGAAAGGTCGGGAGGTTTATTTGAATTAGACTTTAACCCTAGGCAAGCAAGAGCGACACAAAGGTAAAACAAAGTTCTTTTGTTGTATGCGAATACACTAGGATTGTTCTCTCGGATTAATTCCCATAGCTTCGGTTATGATCCACAAACTCACCATCATTAGTCAAATTTTGCTTTATATATAAATCTATGTAAATTGGAGTAAATCGTAGAGAATATCTAATTGGAAACAACAATATTGTTCGCTTATATTGTCTTGTTCTATTAGGGTACAGCAGGTCGAGCATGAGGATAAATACTCGCCGAAGACATTGGCTAGTGCCAGTCACACTATGTCGTGAATTGGCAAAAGTTGCAATTCATGGGATGGATGGCCACTGGATCAGCTCCCAGTGAGTGGTTACTGAATGGTTAACGAGCTCGCTCACCTTTTAATCAGAAGGTTGTGGGTTCGAACCGCAGTCAGGTGGGTGCCTACTGATAAAGTGTCTCAAACTAGGACTAAGGAAACAGCTGTCCGTTGCTCCCAGAGTCTGGTTTTCCAACGGTTCTCTAATTGATGTCATCTCATGATGAAATCCCCCAAGCAAATAACTGTTTCCAAGAATTTGAGAGATTATTAGCTTAGTGAACTGATGCCATTTAATGCCTTCCCTTTCCCCCCGAAAAAGAAATATAAATACGACTGCATAGTTTGAAAATGAAGCCGTTGAAAAGAAACAGCTGAACAAAAGAAGGAGGAAGGAATCACCCTTATGAATAAATAGGTATACTTTGTGACAAGCAGTATTCTAAAACTTTTCTTTGATACTTTGCAAATGAAGTTAACCAAAGTGATTCGAGATTATTCAATCTAGTGACAAGCAACTTATTCCTACTGAAGGAATGTATTTCTCAGGAAGAAAGCAGTTAGGACACTGTATGTCAGGTGAAGTCGTCCACCTCATTGCTTACTCAGGCTGGTGTCCCTCAAGGCACTGTTCTTTCTCCTTGTCTGTTTTCTTTCTTACTGCATGACTTGTCTCACTTTCATGATGATGAAGTGAACTTTGTTGTGTATGCGGACGACCTAAATATTTCAATATCTGTTGACTTACAGTTAGACTGTAGTAAGATTAACAGGTTGCTATCAGGATTAATCAAATGGTCATTGTCTGATGATCTGTCTTAAACTAAATCCTTCCAAATGTCAGACCGTTAATTTCAGTTTCCGATGTAAACGAAAGTTAAATTAATCTGTTCATCATTCCTATGATCATTGTAAAATTGAGATGATAGCGATATAGAAATTAGTGAAGGCAAATGTCAAGTATCTTGGACTAAGTCTTTCCTCTGACCTATCCTGGTCTTCCAATGTCTTAGCGATTTCTAAAATAATACTTCGTCTGACTTTTACATTAAGAAGTTAAGGCACCCGAGCATAACTCAAACCCTCTTCCTCCTATTACGGTTTGTCAACTCTCACCCATCTGAACTATTCTTCTTCACTATTCACCCTTACTTATTCTTACCTGGATAGCTTTAAGCAAACAGATGATGTCATACTTCAAAGAACTAAGAAAATTGTCAGTCAGTAGAGCGTGAGTGGTGGTATCCCCTTGGGGGTCATATCGTTGACGACATTGTTATTGATGATAGGCACTTGATTTCATGAAGCAAATTTGCTAAATGGATTTTGTCAGACTATGAGCATCCTCTGCAGCACCCATAGCTTTCACCTGGTGTCTCCTCCTCAGGGAAAACAAGAAGTCTTATCAGAAGACTTTATGCACGCACGTCTAAGTATAAAAGTAATTTCACGACACTATATTTGGCAGCACGTAATTTATGTGAGGAGAATAGTGTCAGGGACGAACTAACCAACTAACTAACCTTCTTTTCACCAGTAAATAAGCCATTTTCCCCACAATTATACCAACAAGCTTTATTCTCATTATGCTCGTTATATTTATAATCCTCTCAATTTTCATTTTTATTTTCTCATAAATGTAAACATCACTTAAGCTGTGTGAAAATTGGTATTTATTTGTCTTTCCCCTCATCAACATATGTCAAGTGAACATCAAACTCAATACTCTATAATAACATGCTAAAATTTCCAAACTGAATGTATCGACAATACTGTTTGAAACAAACTCACTGTTAATATTATTACTATTATAATAATATTTATCATTCTCAGTTTTTACTTGGAACATTTTTGACATTATTCCTACTGTAAATATTGGACGAATTCCTCTGGTTAATTTTGTTTACATTTTGAGTAAATTGGATGCAATATGTTGTGACAAATGCTGAGAATTCCATTCTGTATTATAAGTAGTGCTGTTTTTGGAATAAAGTAGATTATTATTTTTATCATTATGAATATCCAAGGTTGAGGTGAAAAACTATACATCATAAATATGACTTCTGAAATGTTTGAAATTTACTGATACAGCTAAAACTGTGTGCATCGGCGTCACAGTGGTAGAATGCTCGCCAACCAGGCATATGGTCCAGGGTTCGATCTCCGGTCATTGACTCACTCCTCGCTGCTTCGCTTAGCCAGTAATAAGACTGGTGAAGAGTGAAGGTTGATTATGAGGCTAGCAACCTCATTCCGTAAAAATATATACCACTGCTACCGAAACTTCAAAGCTCTAGCTTGAAGTCATCCTATGCTCCACAAGGAATGTAAAGGAATCAAATAATAATAATAAATGCCTCTGTAACGCTGTCTACTAATAGAAAACGACACCAATCAACTGGACTAGATCGAGCGGGTACATAATTCAGAGAAAATACTCAGTTCACATGTTTAATAAAACAGATCAATACTTTGAGGCTTATTAACAAGTAATTATGTCTATTTCATCACCATCATTATTTAAAGTGAGTTCAGTTTAATTCAGACAAACGTCTCCATATTATTTTCTCACTCATTCAATCACTTCATTTCAGATCCGAGTGAATAAAAGATAATTTTCAAGTACTGGTTTATTTGTAGAGCTATTGTTTGATTGGTTAGAGGACTTCATCATGGGCACTGCCATCGGTTGGTTAGAGAACCATTGGAGAACCAGCCACTGGGAGTAATGCCAGACAGCCGTTTCCTCCGTCTCACAAACTGAAAGATAATATGCAATTGAAAATCAACAAGTTGGCGATAGAAGAAGCATCCAGACAAGATAGGACTTCAGGTAAACATGGAGAAAACAGAGGTGATGATGAAGATTCCCGCCCGCTAACAGCAACAGCAACAGAAACAACGACGGAAAACAATCAGCATAAATGGGAGAAACCTGAAAGAAGTGACCTTCTTTCCTTACCAACCTACCTCGGAAGCATCGTTTCAACTATTGGCGGATGGAACTGATGAGGATATCATCAAAGCTAGAATCGGGAAAGCAAGGCAAGCTTTCATTTCTCCTATCCCTGTATGGAAGTGAACAGCACTCAGCATGAAAAATAAGATGCGGTTTTTCAACTCCAGTATGAAGTAAGTGCTGCTATATACTGATCAAAGACTTGGCGCAGCTCCGCACCGTGCCGCATCAAGGAGGGCACGTAGCACAAATGACAGAATTTCACCAACAGATGTATTCGCTCAATACTCAAAATGAGGTGGCTGGCCAGAAACCATAAGCAACAGGGATCTCTGAGAGGGAACCAACCCGGGAAAAACCAATTGTGCTAAAAATATGCAAGAAGAAAATAGTGGTGAATTGGCCATGCTCTGAGAAAACCATCAGGTGAGTGACATCTTACGCCAGGTCATCGCTCGAGTGGAACCCGAATGGGAAGCGGTAAGTTGGTCATGAGTACGAGGGTGATATGGAGGAGGAGGTGATGTGAAGAGGGGCTGAAAGAATGTGGACAGACGTGTAGCCAGGTGAAAACGTTGGCAGAGAACCGAACGCAATGGAAACGTGCGGCCGAAACCTTATGTTTCTCTAGGAATTAAAGGAAACAACAACAGTTTGGGACTGGCTCTTCAGTAGTACACACTCAACCGACGGCAGTTGTAGCTGAGGACCTTCTCATTACAAGGAGAGCTAGCTAGCTAGTAGACCATTAGTCAGCCACTCACTGGGACCCAATCCAATGGCCAGCCAGCCAGTCCATGAATTCTAACTTCGACCACCAATTCACGCGCAGCATAGTGCGACCACTTCGCAGTGTCTTCTTTTATGAGTAACTATCCTCACCTTCAGCCTGCTGTGCCTTTTTAGAATCCCAGGTAACTGCCTGTTGAAGAGTCAGTCCCAAGCAATAGGACATAGGAAACAGCTGTCTGGCAGTACTCCTTGTGGCTGGTTTTCCAATGGTCCTGTAACTGATGTCAGGTCATGATGAAATTCTCCAACCAATAAAAATAAAAATATAAATCGTTAATTGATTAATGAATTAATTAATTCTTCTTGTTTTTCCAGATTTTATATTTATCAACTAACCTGTATGTGGTGCTTAGCTCGATGATATGCTCGTAATGTTAAACCAGGAAAGATAATTACACTTGGAGTCGCGAAACATTCATCGTATCGATGATACATAAAACACATATAACATGGATAGCAAAATGCAAGAAGCCAACCTGAAATAGAAGAAATTTTGTTGACTTAAATGTTTTAAAAAAAATCGCTTAGACTTCAAGTTATATATATACATACAAAACCGAAGTAGTTCAAGGAAGAAGCGAGGCGGCGGTGTTGCTACTTTCATTAATTCTCAGTGGTCTGTTGCCAACAACGTCTGTTTTAAATTCTCAAATGATAATATTGACTGTATAACTGTCAAATGTCGACCTAAACACCTATCTAAATACCAATTCATTTATATCACGAATATTTATATCACACCTTGTTGTAGCACTTCAGAATTATCTATGCTTGCTGATGAATTCACTATTTTCGCTGCCGCCTCTTTTGGTAACTCCCTGTCCATAGTGACAAGTGATTTTAATTCATGTGACTGCAGCTTTCTCACAGTGATAGGTCATGAAAATGTTGTTAACTATCCCACCAGGCTGGATAATTCCCTTGATCTTGTATTTATCAATGACTCCGTAATATACGAAGCTCGTAAAAGAGCTCCACTGTTTACCTCAGATCATTGTATTGTACGGGTTTTACCTAAAATTTATGGAAAATTACACAAGAGAACTTTTTCACACCTTTCCAAGAAGACTGTACATGGATGTTACTCTATGGAGAATGTTCAGAACCTCAGAAGCATGCTCAAAGATACAAGGTGAGACCTGTTTAAAGAAGACTCTCTTGATGACACAATCTCTAATATCACAAGATATCTCAAATTTTGTCTTGACACCTGTTGTCCCAGAGAAACGCTGTTCATCAGATTTGACCGTTTCTCCTCTCCTCAACTTAAAAAGCTTCGCAGACAGAAAGAAAAATTATATAAAATGAAGGATAATGCTGGTTTGAAAAGAATTAACATCCTAATAAAGTCCGAAATGCACAGATTGAATTCAATTTACAACCAAAAGTTCATATCCTGTAAAAATGCGTCTGACATATGGAAACTTTTCAAAGAAATTACTGGTGGTAAGCAGATGAACAGTATTCTTTTTCCCCTTGATGTTTCCAAATTAAACAAGTCCTTCATACATTCTCCCACGAATGCCAAACTTTCTAGTGTTACAAGTATTAATGAAACCTGCTTCCCTGGATTTACTACAAATGACGTTCTAAAATGTCTTGTAGCCTGGGTCCAGATGGTTTGCCTAGTGTTATTCTTAAAAATTGTGCAGATATCCTGTGTTATCCTCTCATGGACATATTTAATGATTCTTTTTCCGAAAATGTCGTGCCAGCCGCTTGGAAGGACATTAAAATTGTACCTATTCCTAAGTCGTCTACTGCTACATGTTTTAAATTCAGACCCATTGCTATTACTTCCCCTTTTCTAAAAGCTATGGAAAAGTTGCTCTTACTTAGTCTTCAGCCCTCACTTAAAGCCTTTAACGATCCCAAACAATTCGCCTACAAACAAAGTAGAAGTACTTTGGACGCAGCTGCAGTCCTGTATCATAACATTGTCTCCAGCTTAGACAGGGGGGCTAAATTTGTTCGCTGCACGTTTCTAGATTATACATCTGCTTTCGACACAGTACCTAGGGACATTTTGCTAAACAAGCTTGCTGAAACTCAAACTGACTGTTGGGTTGTCAAATGGCTCCATTCTTATTTCTCAGAAAGAAAGCAATACACTGTATGTCAGGGAAAGTCGTCCACTTCATTGCTTACTGAGGCTGGTGTCCCTCAAGGCACTGTCCTTTCTCCTTTTCTGTTTTCTTTCTTCTTGCATGACTTGTCTCACTTTCATGATGATGAAGTGAACTTTGTTAAGTATGCTGATGATCTAACTATTTCAATGTCTGTTAACTCTCAGCTTGACTGTATTAAGATTAACAACTTTCTATCAGAAATTAGCAAATGGTCTTCGTCTAATGGTCTATCTTAAACTTAATCCTTCCAAATGTCAGACTGTTAATTTCAGTTTCCGATGTAAACGAAAGTTAAATGAAGCTGTTGGTTCCTATGACCCTTGCAAAATCGATGATACTGATATAGAAATCAAGTCTGAAGTTAAGTATCTTGGATTAGTTCTCTCTTCTGACCTATCCTGGTCTTCTCATGTCTTAGCGATTTCTAAAAGAATATTTCGTTTGACTTTTTACATTAAGAATTTAAGGCACTCAGGCATAACCCAACCACTCCTCTTACAGTTTGTTAACTCGTGTATTTTACCTATTCTTCTTTACTGTTCACCATTAGTTTTTCCTGGATTGCTAAAAAAGGACTATGTCATACTTCGTAGAACTCTGAAGACTGTCGGTAGGGCGAGTGGTATCCCATTGGGCCATATCGTTGGCATTGTCACTGATAGGCATTTGATGTCATGCAACAGATTCGCTAGAGGAATTTTGTCAGACTCTGAGCTCCAACCTTGTGTCTCCTCAGATAAAACAAGAAGTCTTTTCAGAAGACTTTATGCACGTACGTCTAAGTATAAAAATTCCACTATACCATATTTGGCACTTACTTTATGTGATGAAAATAGTGTCAGAAATGAACTAACTAACCTTCTTAGCACCACTAAATAGACCGTTTCCTTCAACCTTAAAGCATCATAGTTTATTGTTATTGTATTTCTTATATTTATAATCCTCTCAAATTTTTCGTTTTGTTTATTTTATTTTTCATAAGTGTGGACATAATTTTAAGCTGTATTATGACTGTTAACTTTGTATTTCACCTCACTATACCATATCAACAGAAAATTAGACCCAATTATCCATAACATGCTAAAGTTTCCAAACTGAATCGACAATACCGTTTGAAACAAACTCACTGTTATTAGTATTTATTATTATTATTATTATATCTAATAATTATGTCGTAAATGTGGACAGATTCCTCCGATTAACTTTTGTTTTAATTTTTAATTTTATATACAATTTGAGTAAATCAGATGCAATATTGTGACAAATGCTGATAATTCCATTCTATATTATAAGTACTGTTTTTGGAATAAAGTAAATTACTATTATTAGTAGTAGTAATTCTGGAATAACTATTTTGAAACTATTTAAAAAGGCACAGTGGTATAATGCTCGCCGTCAACCACACCCCATGTGGTCGAGGATTTGATCCCCGGCCAGCCGTTCACCGACGCTTTCCTCGCTACCTTGCTAAGTCCGTAATAAGATTGGTAAAGAAGGAAGGTCAGGGGCATCAGGCTAGCAGTAACCACATCTCATAAAAGAGGTAAAAACAACTCTGCTACCGAAACTTTATTAAGCTCTAGCTTGAAATTGCCATTTGTTCCACTGGGAACGTAAAGGAATAAAAAAAATGACAGACTGAAATATACAACAGTTGTTGCATAGGTTATACAGTCAAAGTTCACTAATGAAAGTCTAATTTTTAGAGTAACCTGTTAAATGACATCATGTCTTTATTAGCAAGTAGTTTAAAAATGCTCTGTACATAAACTTCATCTAATTTTTTTTAGATTGTACGTAGCTGATAAGAAGTCAATGAAATAAACGATGGCATAGAATGGCAGTCAAACGGCACTCTCTCTACCTCAACAACTTCATCGACTTCGAAAAGGCTTTAGACAGAAAGCGTTGCCTGAGAAGTAATTTGGAAACTACATCAACACTACAGTGTGTAATGTCCACGTCTTTGTAAACCTCATTAAACAGCTGGCCGGCTATGTGACAATCTCACGAATCAGGTGATCCACAATGGAAAACTTATTCAGGTCTCCCTTTGAAGTAGTTAATACAGGAGCAAGACAAGCTGGCTGACTGCCTATGATCACCATCGATGACAGTCTTAATTATGGTGGACTGACTGGATAATGCGTCAGACTGTGGGGAGAAGGGAGTCGGGAATACGCTGGACCATCGATGATAAGGCTCTAGAAGATATAAATTTCGTGTATGGATGATATATGTCTGATGTCACATCAACTCGAAAACTTACAGTCGAAAACCAACAAAATGGCTAAAGAGATGGGCAGAGAAGACAGGACTCCATCCAGGTGAAGACAGAGAAGATGGAAGGGATGAAGTCAAATAACCAAAGGTCACAACAAACAGCACCGACAACCATTAACCGGAGAGATTTAACAGAGGTTACTTTCTGCCTTCACTTATCTAGGCCGCAACATCGTTTCAACTACAGGTTGTCGGAACGGATAGAGCTGTCAAAGGTGGCCAGAATTGGAAAGACAAGATACGCTTTCATCAACCTGAAACCACTTTGGAAATCTTCTACACTGAGCATAACGAAAAAAGATTTGGATTTTCAACACCAATGTCAGAAACTTGGCCAGCGTGTCACGGAAAAGAGTTTCCAACAGTCTGTTTCAGGCTTTCATCAATAGTTGCCTTCGCTGGCTCCATACTGAAGATCAAATTGCTGGACAGAAAGAATCGGTAACAAGGAATTGTGGCTGGCAATGAACAAACCAACCAGTAGCCTATCGCTGAAAAAATATATAGGAGAAAATGGAGACGGATGGATCAAGCATACATTCAGTGGACCATCAAATGAAATCGCACTCATTGCAGGCCATCGCTTGAGTGGAAGGTGAAAGAGAATCGACGAGTGTGTCATGGGTGTGAGGGTGACATGAAGAAGATAGTGTGAGCTGGAGGAGATGAGAGATTATGGCCAATCGAAGGGTCACCCAGCAGCTGAATAAATTCACATTGGAATTAGAAAATGATTCACAGATTCTATTTTTAGAAAGTGAAACTAACATGAAAAAGAAGAGATGATGGAACTCTGAAGAGATCTATCCACAGAAAACCAACATGGAATGGTCAACTAACGAACTTCTACATAGGTGGATACTTGTGAGCCAGAAACGAGCCTTTATCATCTTAATCACCCATCGCATTAGAAAAATCTGCAGCAGCGACTGATTGCTTGGAAGAGGAGCTCCTATTCCTCAAAAGTATCTTGGATCAAAATTGTCACCCAGAACGTTTTGTCGACAAAGACATGAAACCAAAATCAAAAAGAGAAGAATGCAGTTCAGCGCCGGAAAAAACTCTGTATATGAATCTGAACTTCAGAGGAGATTTGGCAGCTGATATCCTTATGAGAAGAGTATCCAGCTGTTTAAAGAAGACCTTCTCTGCAGCAACAATAAGAGTGACATTTTCTAGCCGCCCAAGACCTCTAAACAATGCAAAGGACATACTCTCGCATATGACCAATTCAATGTCCATATTCCAGTTCACCTGCTCGTGTGGAACTAGGTACATCTGTCGTTGTATGCGGGTTCTTTCAAAGCGTGATAGAGAACATTATCCAGCATGACTGCAAAGAGGAGGGAGGCACCAGTTTAATCAGAAGTGTCATTATTGAACATCTGATCAACACCTTCCACAACATCTCAACTGACTCATCATTCAAAGTCATTTACAAAGTGAACAAAAATCTACCTATCAAAGGTAGTATGTTCCCGACTTGTTTGCACTACCACAGATGCCCTCGCAATATGCATCGAAAAGCCGGAGCTATGTAGGTTCAAAAGAAACTAGTCCAACCTTCACAACTACCATGAACCTAGTTCGGTATGTTCCCTTAGCCTTCGGTTGCTTTTGTTCTGTTCGCTGTGTGTGTGTGTGTGACTTTTCTCTCTTTGTCTTCATTCAATTCATCCAGTTTCTCTTTTCAGTTAGAAGAACAGTTATTTTAAGTTTGTCTCCGTGCTCCACCTGCTCACATTTGTAATTCGTTTAAAATAACAACTATTTTACAGTTATATTCTAATCCTGTGTAATTTTTGTTTCTAAGCCTCTCCTCGTAATCCATATCAAGTGGGAAAATAATTGTCACTTTGTTGTTCGCCTTCGTAATTATATGGAACGAAATAAGAATTGTATCTATGTAAATTTATGCATATAAAAGCGATTGTACAGTTGCTTTCGAAAATGAAATCGCCGAAAAGATGACAGATGTCTGTGTTCCTGAATTTCGTGGTCTCTTCCTTCTAATGTCCTAATAGGTGTTTTCCAAGATAAATGAAAGATTTCAGCAAATACTGCAAGAATTATTTTTAGAAAGGCTTGAATAGACGTGATTATGTCAACAAAAGACGCAGATATTACTCCAGATCCTTATTAGAATCAAATCTTTCGACAAAACAGATAAGGAGACGCCGTTTATCTGAAAAGTGCAATGTAGTGTGTATTCGTGCAACACATTTCGTACATTATGATCAAACACTCACATACACACACACTCACGAGTACTTGTGATGCACAATTATACAGAAGACACATAACACTATTTGCTAACTAGTGTCTAATGGAAAGAAGATTTCAATATTTTGCGAAAATATTCATTCAACCACTTAGAAAATAAAATAAAATTTGAGCAGCAAAGAATATCCTCCTCAATAATTTCCCCTCTTCTGGCATAAAAGTGTCATAGTAAATAGAGTTTCAAATACAAATTAGGGATCATTAAAACCTTGATTGACGGCCATGGGAAGGAATTTTGGATACATAGGTGAGGCTTCCTAATGTAGATTCCAACAGAAAGCCTCAGCAATATGTGCAGCAGACCAACTGTTGAGGTAAAATTGAGACTAGTTGGTGACATTGAAAACCGCCTTGTTTACATCAATCCTGTGTTCTGTGTCTACAAGATAAGATGCAATACAACTACGAATGGCTTTCCTTTGTCCCTTACTTAACCAACCACTGTGCAGGATGGTATTCGGAAAGACTATGACAAACACGTCTCACTGTACGGCCTGTATATAGAAGGCAAGATAGGATGAATCATTACACTAGAGGTCAGATTGTGTGTAGGTGAAGGTCACACATAATGGGTAGGTAGATGATGCAAAGGTGTGGTTAAGGAAGAAAAACCATAAACAAAGATAGGGTTGAAAATACTATGAAGTAAATTGAACCTTGGTTCTAAAGTGAATTACCAAGGCAGGTTTAAAGTAATAACAAATAACTTTTGGAAACATAAGACAGACAATTTTAAGTCTTTTCATGACCTTTATATGTTGGTTTTAAGACATAATATGCTTCGCAGTAGATGATGTCGGACATCTAAATCCGGGATCAGTTGTATCCGGCGATTTCATTTGTTGTTGCAGCCAATTTGGGATATGTTTTGTCGCTCTAACCTGCAGAGATCGATTGATCCTCTTCCCTGTGTACGTGTGTTCATACATACATGTAAATTGATAAACACAATGGTATGTGAAACTGTCATTCGGATACTACTGTGAGGGTTTACAGGAGATCATAATGCTCGTTTTTTCTATGAAGATAAGTTTAGTTACACAATAAGTTCTGTTAATTGCCGCCTTGAGTCTTCTATTTAGCGACAAGACTTTGTTGATCACAGCTGAACGACAATGATATATTTAAACATCCTTTTTGGGAGTAGATTGGATCGCTAGAGCTCTTTTTTGTCCGTAACGCCTAATTAAATATCGGCACGTAACTGTTATCTAACATTATTCCAGTGATGTGTTGTCTTTCCTCTTCAATGGCATCACCTGCACATATATGGTGAATACGTTTGAACAAACACTTGACCAACTCTGTTTTATACTGTAGTGAACTTTCTGTAGACAGATCGTTTTATTGGCCCATCTTGTCAGCGGGTTATGAGCACGTTTAAAAAATGGCAAGCAGTCATTATTCTGCTTTTATGTATGTTAGCGATATGCTGTTTTCTACTCTATTGATCTGGTTAAGGATTTCTATGGCGTCTGTCGGTTTATCACGAATGATCACTATTATGTCATTCATGTATCTTATATAGAAATGAACTTTTTTTAATTACTTCCTCAGCTAGGTTCTGAACATGCGACATGTATATATCAGCTAAACCGGCTGAAGTAGCAGTGAATATGTATACATATATATAACCTTGTATGACAAGTACTGGTGTATAGGTGTATTTGATCAGTATGTCCAAAATTGTGTTGCACAAATACACACTACATGCCACTTGTCAGATCAACTAAGTCTTCTAAATTGTTTTTTTTACCGAAATTCATAAAAGGGAACTAAATTGAAACAATTCGTCCCTTTGATAAATTTGAATAAGGAATTTGGAAGACCAATTTTGCGAGACATCAGAGACATATCAGATTCACCTTCCAAGAAAAGGCATACAAACAAATCGATGGTGTTGCGATGGTGAGCCCGCTGTTGGGGCCTTGTTCTCATTGACCATGCATATTAAAAACTATCTGACTATTGTTCCATCCCATCTTATATTTGTCCCACAATACACTTTCTGATATGATTCTAATTTGCCTTTACTGGCTACTGTATGCTTAAATTAATGGATTTATAATTGTAGAGCCTGAAGAAGAATTTATTGAAAACAATTGTTCGCTCTAAATATTTTGTACAGATATATTCATGTCGAAATAGAAGAAACAAATGCAAAGTATGCTTGCCTGAGAATTTATGCTATTTAAATGTTATGTGGATGATAAAGTCACAAACCTCATGTACACACACACACACAAATATTTATATATAAATGCGATTGTACAGCTATGTGAATGAATTCGCCGAAGAGAGTCTCTTCGCTGAATGTCTTCTCTTTTTCAATTGTAAGTCTGTTGAAAACTTTATTACTGTATTTATTGATATTCATCCAAATATCCGAATGACTTCCGCACTCAGTTTTCTGGATATTTAAATTACCAGAAGAGACGATGGAAGTATTAAGTGATCTGTATTTTGTAAACAGACATGGAGTGAACAATATCTTCAATTCACGAGTTCTGCTGTTTCTATTCAGTATAAACGGTTTGCCCTAGTCATGGAATGTTTGTTTTCAAGGGCTCGCTACAAATGTACCAGCGACACATTGATGGATGAGCTTCGACATATACAACATTCAGTTTTATTATCTAATGTTTATCAAGATAACTTTCTCGATTGTTACAGTAAGGATAGACCACATCTAGAAAAGAAAGCTATCTTTATTGCCCTACCATTCAAGGGTGATCAAATTATCCAGTTAACAGCTCATAGACTTCTGTCAGCCATCAAGCGTACATATTCTACGCCGTATCTCTTTCCCTCAGATACCGAATATTTTCCATCCCTGTACCTACGATTATAGGACGAAATTCTGTGGACTCTACTTCAAACTGTATCTACAGGTTCACCTGCAGTTGCGGCGACACCTATATAGATAGAGTCAATAGAATGTTTCATTTGTCGTTGTCGAAAACAACATGTTCCACAATGGTTATTCAAACATATAGAAAATCCCAATGTAATTATTAATCTGAATGGAAATCCATCATCATCCATTACAAAGCACTTATTAAAGTCAGGTCAAAAAATCAATATTAATTACTGCTTCACAATTAAATCATCACATAACTCTAATTCAAGGTTGGTTATTATTAAACGTGATCATGGAATCACTCTTCGGGGATTAATCACACACATCATAAACTATGTGTACAGTCAAAAATCAATAGACTTCAATCTTCTCGCCTACCATGAACTCACTACTTGTGAACCAACCATGCTGCTAGTTGTAAAGCGATTGTAAAGAAACCGCGAAATGATGATATTATCTCGTAAAATTTGTCTTATAAATGTTTCGTTTTATATCTTATTCTGGCATGAAAACTCAGAAGGACAAGAAGAAGAATCAGAAAAAGTATCACTTACATGAAGTACAGTCATTTGTACAATCGAATAATCCATCGTGCCAGTCTCTTTGGCGAACTGCATACGGCTGGCTCGTTGTTACACCGTCCATTTTGATAGGATATGTTTTTAAGTCAGTTGATTGACCCCGCAAAATAAAACAAACAAATTGCTCTAACAATTGAGATATTAAATCTAATATAAAATGTCACAGAGCGGGTGAATAGCACAAAAGTATATATTATGCATATATATACACCTAATCAGAGTATATACTGTCCCTGCACATGATACAATCATCATTTAGAGAAGAAAATCAACCAATGAGACAGTGTTGTTGAGACAGATTGTTTCGCATCGACATGAACACACTGTTAAAACAGATAGATATCTAGATATGATTGCTATACAACGGTTGGTAGTTGTTCGTACATGTTTTAAGTCTTGTATGTTGGTGATTTGTGTGTGTACGTGTGTGCCAATTTGAATTGAATAAATTAAAATACTGGTTTTTTCGTAGGGATTTTGTTTGTGTTTGATTGGTTGGAGGATTTCATCATCAGCACTGACATTGGTTGGTGGTTAGAGAACCACTGGAAAACCAGCCGCTGGGAGTACTGCCAGACAGCTGTTTCCTCCGTCCTAGTCATTGGCACTCTGCTTCGGCAGTACGTACTCACCCCATCGACAGGGTTCTAACCCATGACTACCTTCTGGTTACAAGGCGAATCAGCAGAAGTTAGAATTCATAGGCTGGCTGGGAAGATGGCCATTGGATCGTGTCCCAGTGAGTGACTGCTTAATGGTCTACGAGCTAGCTCGCTCGCCTTGTAACCAGAAGGTGGTTCTGGGTTCGAACCCTGTCGGTGGATGGGTGCGTACTGCTGAATGATTTAATCCAGATAAATTTACTTATTATCTACTTGGTTATGAGAATTTTTGAGTTATAGTTTATCATGAAACCAATTGCTCCCTGGAAAGAGCTTCCTCTGCTGCGTCGTTGAAAATAGCGTTTTCCAGTCGACCATTACTATTCAATAGCCTGAAGGAAAAGATCCCGCTGTTGACCAGCTCGTGTGCAGTCAGGTGCAAGAATGCCATCCTGCAAGGTTACGAATAGGTGGAAAAGGAGCAATAAGAAGCGTGATCATTCACCATCTGATCAATAATGATCACCCTACCTCTACAGCCTCCGCCTTTAGAGTCATCTTCTGCCAAAATCCCTACGTACCCGACTCATCTATATTGCTGAAGCAGCCTTGGCCATCGAAACAGAAAAGTCAGATCTCTGTATACCGAAAACGTTCGTTCAGCCACTCCAACACTCATGGTCTTAATCCCTCTATGCTAAAGTATGGTAATCCCCACTTCATATTTTGACTCTACTCATATTTTCGTTTTGTTTATTCAATTTGTCAACTGTTAGTGACTATTACTGTTCTCACTTTGAACTGTCCCCGGTATTATTTCACTCTTCCTACTTGTCATTTAAAATCAAATCTGTTTAACAACGTTAAACTGTGTGTTATCAACTTTCACACAATGTTACGTAACTTTTTTATTTTATTCTACTTGCCTACTAATCCTGTAATTGCACACCCCTTCCAAGTTCTATACATCTTATGAATTATTCTATATATGACATTAATTGTTTGACTACTTGACACTGAACTATGATTATAATCACAAATATTTTAATTGCATTTCATACTACTACTATTATTATTATTATTTTATGCTTGACACCTATGATTCATTTCCCTCCTGCAAAGGATATAATTTCTTTAAAACCAAATAAATAGCTCATTTACCAGAGATCATTAAAAAGTCAAGGAGCAGTCGTTAGTTGATTTAATTTCGTTGGGAATACTCCAGTAGTCTGCATGTATGACTCCATTAAGGATTCTAACGAGGGACCTTTAGAAGATGACACCAAACTTGTTGATTATTCAAATGCCAGTTGGACAATAATTTAATGTTCAACAGTTGATTTGTAAGGATTGGATTTGTTTTTGCGAGCTTGGGGTGTACTGGACAGCTGTTTCCTGCGTCCTAGTTTGGGAATCGTCGGTAGTATACACCCTCCTCACTGGAGTTCGAAATCAGGACTCGGGTTTTCAATGGCTCTCTAACTGATATAAATCCGTGGTGAAACTCGCAAAAACAAATCTAACCCTTACAAACCAACTATAGAAAATTAATCTGATGCTTTCTAGTGACTGTCTGGCTGCAAAACGGAGTTTCCTGGAGTTCTAATGAGAAGTCGTGACCAGGCAGGTCCATCCGATCGGGTGTAAGGAAGGATTTCCCTCCGATGGCAACGGGTGGTGGTCACACCATGAACCACAAATCAGTAGAAGTGAGAGTTCATGGACTGGCTGGCCATTGGATAGGGTCCCAAGGAGTGGCTGAATGGTATACGTGGTGGCTTGTAACTGGAAGGTGGTCCTGGTTTCGAAACTCACTGTGATGGGTGTGTACTGGCGATGATTAACAAACTAGGACGGAGGAAACAGCTGTCCAGTACTCTCTGTGGCTGGTGTTTACTGGTTCTCTAAGTGAGTTATCAATCAATCCGTGGTTAAACTCGAAAAAAAAAAAATTTGATGACTTGTAACTTCTAACTTCTGTCAGTTCGTTATATACAACTAGATAGCCGGTAACCAGTGCTGGTATTGGTACATTTACAAGGAATGTAACTCTCCATTTATGAAAAGGTTTTTACCGACATACTTATTCAAAGTATTCACATGTATATGAGTCGCTTATACTCGGCCTTGAAAAAGTTGGCTGAGTAGTTGATATGCTCAACTTATCACTTTGCTATTGAAAAGCAAATAAATCGATATATGTAACTGAACGCAATAAATACAGCGAAGAGACTCTTTTCAACAACGAATTTATTATCAAGCTGTACAATCGTATGTGTATATGGTCGTTGTTTTTAAGAAATTACATTCGGTGAGGGAGGGAATTGGATCAAAGGTGTGAACACTTGAAATAATAATAGTAGTGTGGTGAGAGCTGGCTGGTAGCCAAAAATGGTAGACAGTAATTTACGTCAGTGTTTACGTCCTCAATATTGGTCATGGGAAAAATAAGAACAAAGACTGACTCAGCAACCAACCACGGCACACTTTGCGTAGGCGGATACAATTTGCAGATAGATAATCTGAACTTCAATAAACGGCCATAAAGAGATGAAAGAATAACGTTCAGCGAGAAACCACCAATCAGAAGACTGTGTTTGTTTGCTTAACTAAACTATAATAATGTACATGAAAATATATAAATATGCTTTGATTTCCTAAATAAACTATCTTTTGCCTGGCCCCTCTCTTCTGTTGTTACAGTAGTGGTATGAAATACAATAATAATATTTGTGATCATAATCATACAAGTTGATCACGGACTGATGTCAGTTAGCGAATTTTATTCCTTTAACTATAGGTTTTCTGTAGGTTAAAGGAGCCTGTAGACAAAATAATATAATTCACAAAATACCTTGCAATGACTGTGAGTTAAGTCAACTACATATGTCAAACTAGTAGGTCAGGGGTAGTCAGATTGTCGGAACATCAGAATTTGGCTAAGGTGAGAATGGTTGACCCCGAGAAGATAAGTAATTTAGAAAAAAGCTCAGCAATTGCACTGCATGCATTGAAACACAACCACACAATAGTGTGGGAGAAAGAGGGTTAAAATTCTAAGATGTAATATAGGTAGGTGGAGAGAGAGGTTGGTTACTGAATCCTTGTTCATCGAGTCTACACTCAACACGTGCAATAGGAATGACTCATCACTCATACCGGAAATATGGAAAATACTACTACCAATCAAATCAAGAGATGGAAAGTAATGGAATTATATAAACGAAGCTAGAAAGTTGTGTGAATACCTTGATATGATTATGAGTAGGAATAATTTGTGCTGCTCGAAACATGATCATCAGTAAATATTACTTTATAACACTGAGACTTTATCAAAATAAATTTTACCCATAATGGAATTAAGACGAAAGACAAGACTGCAGATCTCAAAGAATGAATTCATCTGTACCAGCCACTGACAATGACTTTGAGTTATATCATCAATTGTCTCCAGCCGTCATTGACGAGTATTAGGATCCCGAGGACCTCGACCAACAATTCAGTCTAGGTCTCAATGTATTGCTGGTTTGTACTGTCTATTGAAGATTTTATGAACTGACCACCACTTGCACTTTTTCAACCTTACCCATCATGCGCATTGGAACTGGCCGTTGATGAAGGCGATTGCTTGGCAGAGATGAGTAATAATAATAATCTACTTTATTCCAAAAACAGCACTACTTATAATACAGAATGGAATTCTCAGCATTTTTCGCAATAACTTTCATCCAATTTACTCAAAACATCATGAATAAAATTAACCAAAGGAATCGGTTCACATTTACAGTGGGAATAATGTCAAAAATATCCCAAATACAAACTGAGAATAATAAATATAATAATAATAACAATATTAACAGTGATTTAGTTACAAACAGTATTCATAAGTAAAAACACAGTTTTTGTTCAACTGAATGTGTCTGATAGACACACGGACGGTAGTCTCGCTAGTAGATCAGGATCTGCGTCAGACTGTTAGACCATGTTAAATGAAAATTCAAAGTGATAAAATCCGAAGCATCTCAAATTGCAGCGTTCCGCAATACGCATCTGATAGGACCCAGCATAAAATAGTATATTATCCTTTCTCACGAATCATATGATTTATCTTGTGATGGAGTTACTATGTGAATGTATTATTTCTCACGGCTATTTTATGATTTAGTGTGTGATCTTTGTCTCCCTTTGGTCTTTTTCGTCGGATCGCCAACCAGTGAGAATAGCTATTACTAGCGAATAAGGGCAATTCATGCTCATGGCTGTCAGCTAACTTTATTGTGATAAATAAAATGTATAAATATATTTTGTTTTGTTTCCGAATAAATGTACAACACAGTACCTTACAGTCACAGGTCAGTCAGCCCTTGTCTTTTGATATTTGCATGGCTCAGTGAATCGTAAAGTACACAGCAAACACAGGTATATTAGCGCAGCAGTCGAGTTCATTACTCATCACCAGCGCAAACGTAACAGGCTCGCAAATTAACTTTCCTGTCAACAGTTGTTAAGACGAGCAATAACTGTGCCTGATTTTCTACAGGAGGTTAGTGCGGCAATAAACATCAAGAAAAAGGCTGTGACACCGCAAAACGGATCTACCAACCTGCATGAGAACG